TCTGGGAGGTGACAAATATTTCCAAGATATCAGGTCATTTTTTGAGGGAGGTTGGCCAATAGGTAGGATTCATAGGTGAGAGGATGGAGTAACTATTAGAAGTTGAGACAGAAGATAGTATGTTACCACGGGAGTTTGATGCTCAGTATGTTACCACGGGAGTTTGATGCTCAGTATGTTACCACGGGAGTTTGATGCTCAGTATGTTACCACGGGAGTTTGATGCTCGACAACTCCATCGTTGGTGTTTAGCGTTTTAGTCTCCTGCAGCGATCTGAAGGATTGGAATAAGGATTCAAACAGATTGTAGAATATGACCACGAAGACAGTATACAGCTGAAAGTGTTAAATGGAAAGGACGAGTTGAAATGATTACCGAGGTTGCTTGAATAGCCTCAGTTGGAGTAGAAGGAATGAGGGAATGGGATAAGGATGCAAGAACCGGCATGGGAAGTGTTGTCGGGGTGGTCTGATCTATAAGTGATGTAGTCACGTATGTAGAAATATGAACGTTGAGTGAAGTGAGTTTCTGGCAGTAGAGCAATATCAATGTGGTTGTCATGAAAAAAAATGTCAAGTTCGTCTCGGTGGTTTTGTAGTTCGTTAGCATTCTATAAAAGAACAGCTAAGGGCTTTGTGCTCATCGTGGGAGATTAAAGGGAATTTCAGTAAGGATTCTTGTGAGGCGGATTATTAGTGGCTTGATGGTATCTTGCAGATTTCTTCAGGAAGGATGCAAGGGTGGAGTGGATTAAGTCGATCGGGTTTTGTTGGTCAGCTGGAATTTGTGAGGGATAGCTCTTATGATAAGGAGTGTCTGATGGATGATGTACCAGTCGTGATGTACGAGAGGCTGAATCATAATTAGATGAGATTTGGGAAGGAGAGTTAATGTGATGAATAGGATGGGAATGAACTGGAATCGGATCTTCAGGCGGTAGTTTGACACGTAGAGGTATCTGATAAGGAGAGATTGACTGACATGGTGATTTTGAGTGCATGTGGGAGGTCTGAGTCTTGGATTGGGAGGTCTTGAGCTTAGGTTTGGAAGCCTGGGTCTTAGGTTTGGAAGACTGAGGCATCTGACGTCGCGGTTGCTGATTCTTCACTGCGGAGTCAGAATATAGTTGTCTGGAGTCCTGATGGGGATGATTTGTTGATGTAGAAGGCTGTTTTGTAAATCGTGATGCTATTTCGTTCGGCAATTCAGGAAACGTTGCCAAACTTTGTAGTTCGGGTGTCTTTGCCTGGATAGGATTCTTCTGTTCTTGGGTTTTAATATGTTATAAGTCCTTTGCTTATATAGCCTCTTGTAAACAATGCAGCCCTAATAGCTTGCAGGGTGGTCCTCACCACAAAGGACACATTTTGCTGGTTCATTTAATGGTTTCTGACATGTGTCAAAGGAGTGAGAACCGGCACGTTTGACACACTGCGCTTGATGGCACAAGTGATGGCAGTAGGCCTTTGTGTACCCTTTTTTGACACTTGGTGCATTGCACGACTATTGGTTTCTGCTTCGGTGCTTCAAACTTTACTGTTACATAAAGTAGTCTTTTCACTTCGAAGATTTCAGAATTATTCCGGACTGGTTCTAAATCGATAAAAAATAATGGAAGTGGGTATTTATCAATTGGATGTAAAACAAAAGACATATGTCTTATATTGTGGCCGTTATCTTCGAGATCTTTTTTTATAGCGGTAGTGGGAGTGGTTGAGTGAAGACCTCTCAAAACGACCCTATATGTTTTTTCCTCTTTTAATTGATAGCAGTGGAAGTCATAATTGTGTGATGTCAAGTGATTTATAAGTTTTTTATAGTCATCTTTGGTGTTGGTATTGATTTTTATGTCGTTAATACGAAAAAAACAATGGAAATTGGTCTGTCCGATTAGATTAGCTAATTCTTGACCGAACTGCATGAAGTTGTCAATTTTGCTTACATATATGGGTGGTGGCTCTGGTTCAGTGAAAGTCTGAGTAATTTCGATATTTTTATTATTGGCGACAACAGAATTGTTGCTGGATATGCTAGTAGGTGGTTTAGTTTCAGCTTTCATAGTTGAATTATTTTTAGAGTTTGTATTAGTTTGTTTATTTTGATCTGCTTAAGTGGCTGCTTTGATTTAGCGGATTTTTTTATTTTTTTTACTTGGTGAGTTGCCCCAAGTGCCGACCCGGGGGCAGAGTTTCTGTTGCACTTTTGTAGAGTTCGCCTGGTTAAATATTGAGAATCAGTTTCACTTATTTCGGAGAAGGGAATCTCTTCATCTGATTCGTCACATGAAATATTTCTCTCAGGTTCCATACCTCTAAATAATATATGAAAAAAAAAAAAGAAAAAGTAGAGAAAGAAAAAAAAATATCACTAATAAGAAAATATACAAAATAAATGCTTATTAATAACTAATCTATTTACAAAGCTATATACAAATAGTAAATAAAAGAGAGAGAAAAAAAAATTATATACACTGTCTTAGGTACAAACTCACGATTGTCTGACGTAAAACCAAGCGCCGTGGCCGTGAACTTGAGATAAGACCCACTGAGGGGAATAATCTGCCTTGTAAACTGTCTCTACCAGAGGAGTATCAATTTAATGTTACTAATTGTTATTAAAAAGTCACTCACCTCACTAATTATAACGTAAAATTGTTTAACTGTTTATAAACACTCTGTTTACAGAGTCTCAGAAAGGGATTTAAGATAACAACCAGATGAAAATTTAGCAAAGACAGAACGATATGAATATTGAACTGCAGTTGCGGCTATGACACTTGATACTTATTATACTTCTAAAATTATTATTTTTGTTATTATTATACTTCTACCTAAATAAACTCTAGTGGAATGAAACTTCTTTGTTCAAACTATTTTATGAGTATTTAAGAGGTAGGTTAAAAACTAAAAAAGAAAAAATTTATTGAAAACGTTATTTTCTCCATTCCACTTCATAGAATTAGTTTGATATTAGCCAGATACTGCTTCTTCTTTTCTTAAACATTGGCACAAAAATGTGTTAAAATATTGATTGAACATCGAGTAAGTGAAGGAGGTAACTGGACTATTCAAATATTCTTATTAAACAGATAAGTGATATAAAATGAAAAATATTTTGTGGAGAGGAGTTAACAATCCCTCAGATCTCTAGTTTTCGAAAAAGCTGATATTATAGAAAATAAAGATACAGATACTGTTTCAAATACAAAAACAAAAAGACTTGGGAGGAAATTCTTGCCAAATTCAATGATAACGGAGAACATGTATGTACGATATGTATGTACGAGGCCGGTCTGAAAAGTTTCCGTCAGCAACGTGAAGAAAGCAACACTCGTAAATAAAAGCAAGTGAATTTCATTATTCATCTGTTGACAGTTACCCACCAAAGTTTCAGCCATTTTGGACGCAGTTTTTATATAACAGTCGTTTGAGTGACTTGATGTGAGTTTTTTTGTGAAAATGGACAAAATTGAGTATCGAGCTGTCATTAAATATGTTTTTCAAAGAAAATACGCCTACGCAAATCAAAGGTGAGTTGGATTCTATGTATGGGGACTCTTAACTACCCACAGGGTGAAACATAAGTTGTGTTAAATTGTTGGATACGCTTGAGACTTACTATTTTTATCAGAAAAAGTGAGTTGTAATAACACAAGTAAGAAATTTATGTAAATTCATACCTGCCTTTACAGTACTTCTAGTAAGGTATCAATATCTAAAAGCGTTATTTTTTCACTTACACCACTTTAAATGGTTCAATAATAAGTAGTTCTTAGATTAAAACTGGATCATTGTCAGTTACAAGGAAAAAATGAATTGAAAATGTTTGAAAAATTTAATTAAATTACATGATAAATTAGTATTGTAACATTACAACCTGCTATCATCAAACAAACAAATTCTATAAATGCAAAACATAGTATGATAAGTTCTGGACCAAGCTAATTGACTTACATAGGCTTTATGTCTTTTTATTTTAGGTATTATCATATAAATAGTACTATGAACACCAACAAATCAAAATATATGAGAACACTGATACACTTGATAAGAATATGGCACACAGTCTTGCTCGAACAGTGGTAGTGTTAACATCGTTGTTTATCTGTTTAAAGTGGCAGCATTCTTTTAGTGTGAGGACAATAGGCAGTTGTTGACAGGCCCGACTTCTCAGAAGCCTACGGCTAGCTACATTCAAGCCAGCTTTATCTATTTTATTTTCTCTTTAGTTTATATTATTTTCTTATTACTTAAAATTATCAACTAATATCACATGTATTAGTGATCATGGGGGAAAGCAGTGTGGGAACTGAGCCCCCTGATAAACCATTAAACTCACTGGTAGTACATAATGGAAAAAATCAACATAAATACTTGCAGAACTTTAAAGGCCCCTTCATTGTTTTTGTTGAAAAATCGACTGATGAAAACATAGTATGCTTTCATGATATGAAAATTGGAAAAACTCTAGGCTTAAATAACTCTCACGTTTTTTCTATTAAAAAGAAAAATAAACAACAAATTGAAGTTATTTTTAAAACTTAAGAATATGCCAACCGATTTTTAGAAAATCAATTTCTTGAATCTAATAAACTAAAAGCATTTATACCGAATTTATACGTTTTAAAATACGTTGCTGAAAAAGTTGCTGTAACATACAAGGTATATACAAATCTTAAGTATGAAATTTCATTTTGTCTTTTTTCTACTTTTCGTTTTTAGCTAGACTGTTATTCACATACATACACGCACACACAGACCATTTTGCAGGACTTGGTTATTTGGAGTCAGAACACCTCAAAACATGTATTTCCGTTTAAAACTCAGAGCTGAAAATTTTCACAATCGCAATTCTGTCTCTTACTATATATTTCATACATAGATAAGTTAAAGTAAAAAACAGGTCTATGGACATTTATGTAATTTTTTATTATTAATTATTATTCATAAAAAAATCTGTTTAGATTGCCTCCCGTTTAATATTTTATTTTATTTTATAGGTACATTACCTGTAAAAAGAGAAAGAGATGAAGGAGATAATATAGAAACTAAAAAACATTGTCCTGATGATGAAGAAATCAACGCTCAAGTTCAAAGTGCTATTGATAGCATTCTTAATCTACAAAGGAATGATCCTCTTGAGGAAGCTGTGAGAAGCATTTCTTCTTAGTACTTTGTAATTAAATAAGCCATAACCCCTCCTTAGTATTTATTGATTTTAGCATGTGATTTCTTATGAAAATGAAGTATCGTCAACCAGTATTTTTATAATTGTTGTTAAATTTTTATCATTATTTATACTCGTTAACAGTTTACCAATCCTAGAAGTTATTATGTAGTTTTAAATCTATTTATTTATTTTGTTTTATATTATTAACATTTCATTTTTCACTTATGGTTGGACTGATTCATAATTGTATAATAATATATTAATACAACATTTGATTTATTCCTTAAAAAGTTTAGTGAATAAATTAATTGAGTTAATAAAAATTTACAATGATTAGTATAATTTTAATTTTTTTTTTTTTCTTTAAGATAATACTTTGCTGTATGTTTATATGTTTTGAAAGAAATTATGACAGCAGTTACATACCATAATAAGTGCCTTTAAAATGAATTATTTATTATATTTAAATTTTATTTTCGATTTAGCACTAAGGGCTAATAAAACTCAATTAACAAAATCAGAAAAAATTAACATTTCAATGACTTCACATGATAGTCTTGAAACAGTCTTTTAATTAGGTCAATTTTAATTAACAACTCTTATCTGGCACCTCTGTGATTTGAAAATTCCCTGAAATTCTCTAAATGATTTAATTATAATTTTTTGTTAATTTTAAGGTCACAGAGTTATCAGTGGCAAGATTTTCATTGAAATTTTAAAAAATCAGTTATGAAATCATCATCGATCGAGGCCATTGATTTTATTTTTATTTGTGGTAATTTATTATTCAGCATAGAATAAGTAACAAATTTCCTGTCATTTTATTTCTAAGGTCATTTGATTACAGTCAATAATCATATAACATATTAATATGCATAATATCCGGTCTGCATAGTAACATTTTATTAATTGCTTAAAAAAAAAAAAAATTTGAAAATCAAATACTACTTTTAATGTCAAATTTTCTTATGCTCCGAAATAATTTATGATATAAAAAGTTATTTAGTACAGGTTTTAAAACAATTCTTTACATGAACAAAAGAAAATTTCATTAAAAAAGGTTTGATATGTGTCTTGTAAATTAATAATCTTATGAACTAACATGCTCACATTGTTTTAAATGCAAAGGCATGGTAAAGCTCAAAGTTGGATGGGACACTTTAACTGCTGGTCATTCGTTGTTTTCTTATAACAAAAAACAAAACAAAATGAAAGTATCTCTGATCATATTTTGTCATTGCCTTTTATATTAGAGTGTTTAGTTGATTGTTATTAAATATATTTACAAGAAGATAATTAATTTTTATTTGGCTGTGATAATATTTAAGTTGATGATTGACCCAATATTGAAAATGCATTGGGTATTTTAATAAGATATTGTTAATTGTAATTATCTGTATAATTTCAAATTCTTTTCACTAAAACAATGTATTGAAATTCTAATTGTTGATGATCCATTGTTTCAAAGTGGTTTTAAATGCATTGATATCTGTTAAATAAAAAAATAATTGTAATGTTTAGTTAAAAAAAAAAAAATTGGCAATTTTCTGACTAATAACTGGGCTATTTAGTAAAACATTGTTGACTTAAATTAAATGTAGGCTGAGAATGAATTACCTTATAAATTATATTATGCTTTAATGAATAATATTTCATAAAATTGATAAACATTTTTCAAGTACAAAAATCTCTTTTATATTAAAAATCTTGGCTCTTTTATTTTATTTTTTAATGATTTAAATACATTTTCATTACTAAAAATATGATTTATTTATTTAGAATGTAAAACAACTCTGTTATATTACTCTAACCATTTTATTTTAGGAGCCTTATTTTTATTATGTTCATTCAATACTTTTATTTATTTTCAATCTTATTTTATATAATTTTGGCGTCTTTTTTTTTTTTTAACATTAATAGAAGAGAAACATGTATAATCTGATGACTATTAATCAAAATAAGTTTTTTGGCTTGTCTGAAATTCTTCCAATTAACTTCTTTTTATTTATGTTTTTGAAGGACATATATTCCTGGAAAGTATTTTTTTAAAACCGTCCAAAATCTTAAAAAGATGTAATTGGTCACTGATGCTTAGGTAGTTAAATGAAGAAATTAAATTTTTGTTTGAAGATTTTTTTGGTGTTTATGAAATGAATAATTCTCACTTTTGTACGATAATTGGCACATGAGTACACTTGAAAAAATTAGTTATATTTTAATCTCATTTTACTTATTAAGTAATTATTCATAATTTTTTTCATTCATATTTATTTATTTCATTAAGGTCACTTCCAAAATTGACATTTCCACTGCCATTTTTTTCCATGGCATATTTATAATTTTTGGACTTTTATAGATTTAAATTTCTTTTTAATTTATATTGAGAATTCAATCAATTTTATGGTGTTATGGATATAGGTCAGTATTTAACCAATGTTAAATATTTTTGTTTTATTCAAAAGTTCAAGCTCTAGGAATAGTTTAATTTATTGTGACAATATTTAAATCAGACTTTCTGAAATGTTTTAACCATCTATGGATTGGTCATCGTAATGATTAATCCAATACCTTTGAGGTAGCCAGAGCTCACAATATTTGCACTTCAGTACTTAAAAACCTTAATGTAATACATTAAAAAAAAAAACATTAAAGACACAAAAATGGATCATATTCAAACAATAATATAACAATTTTTTGAATGGGAATAAACATATTATTGATATTCAAACTCAGAGCTAATAAGGGTGCTTTTTTGGTTCATTTAACACTCATAGATACAAATAATGCTAACTTCACAAGATATTTCTGTTAGGCTAGTGACATACTATATATGACTAGCTAAGAGACTGGTAACTCGGCAAGTATTCCAAGAAACTTGGAGTATTAATGGTCATACTGCCTGATTTTATAGTGACAAGTAACAAGATGGCGGTGTGATCACTGTCTGTATTCTCCTAGATTACTTTTCTTGTTTCCAGCCTCCTAGCCATCCTCTCTGAAACTTAATACAATAAGACATCATCATTTAAACAATCTAAAATTTCTGTATATTAGTTTTTGAAATAAAATTTCAGGTGCCCATACCATAGAGGATTTAGTTGCTGGGTGGGTTATTATATTTGTTATATTTGAACTTATTTATTAAAAAAAAAAAAAGTTTTTTTTTGCTTTTTAGTTCCTTTGTTTAATAAGCTATTGAGTTATCTTATATGCCTATTGAGTTAATTTATGTTTTATGATCAAAATAATAGCCTAATCTGATGAGTTTTTGTCAGATGATCAAACTATTGGTTACAATTATTTCCTAATGATTGGGCAATGTTGCTTACCTACCTAGTTTTGTTTCAAATTTCAGAAGTAAGGACTTAATTTTTTGTTTTGTTTTTTCAAATTTTCCTTTGTTTATTTATGAACTAAAAGTTCTTATAACATCTGATCAGTTTAAATTGATTTATTCAACTATTAAGTTGTAATTATGAGCTAACCATTTTATTAATAAATGAAATTGTTATCCTATTGTTTTTGTAACAATAGACCTTTCTGGGGATATTATTACCATCTATATTATGATTCTTGAAAAATGAAAAAATATTTTGAATCTTAATAATATCATAAAAAATGTTTAAATTAGATAAAGCAAGCAATTAGTTATTTAAAAAATTGGCAGCACATCATAAAAAATAAATACCTTAAGAAAAAATTTTATATTAATTACTCAAAGTAGAATACACAAAATTTATAAAGTGTAATTGTAATTAATTTATCAACTTATTAGTTGTAAACTGAAAAAGAAAAAGAATAATCAAAAATATTGAAGAACAATAAAAAAATAGAAATCTTTTTCTATTAACATTGTATCATAACTAGTAAATTCTGATCATTCTTGATTTTGATAATACCTTATATTTCGGAATTCATTATTTTTGTTATTTATTTATTTATTTTTTTAACATTTACTTTTTATTTCTTTATCAGAGAATAATTCTCTTATTGGCACTTAAAATAATATGTAACTAATACACTCTGTGTCACTTATTTGTCTATTAGTCTCAACTTATTTCCATTGGCATTCATTTTATAAATCATGTGTAATTTGTTTGTTAAATTGAGTGAAGGCTCAACATCTTCTGTAATATTAAAATTGTTAATCCTTCTAGCTAACTTTAAAGTTATAAATTTTAATTTTAAATGATTAAGGAAAATCATACGTACCCAATCCTCGCTTTTAGGTATTGAACTTAAGATTGTTTATTTCTATTTTAAGATTTTATCATTGATAATTTGTTGTACATAGTGTAGGATAGGTTAGCCTTTACTGTAATGTTAAAGTATTGTAATGTTGGCCTATTTAATAATACTATATTTATTTTCTGAGTAATTTATTCTTACTGGTTAGTAAATTACTGGAGTAATCTATTATTATACTGTTAGGGAGATCATACAATTTTTTATGTTGAATTTATTTTTCTTCATTTAAATTAAACATTATTATTATGAGATATACTTATGTACCATAATGGTGGCATCAAATGATTTTGCTGTAATATTTGTTTCCCTTACAATTAAAAACTTCTTATTTGGTAGCTCTGCGGCTTTAAAATTGTTGGAAATCTAAATCAATTTAGTATGAATGTCTGCCAATTTGCAAGCCATAGATCTATCAGATAAAACATTTTCCTTCACATTACCACAGAAAAATCATTCATGTGAGGGGTTATCACATGAGGCCATCATATAAGTTGTCAACAAATCTTGCCTCAATGAAATACCTTAACTTCCTGCACTATGTTTCGTAAAACATCTAAGTTTTACATCACCTCATTTTGTCAGGAAAATATTGAAATATTTTTTTAATGATAAATTAGTAATTTATTTGGCACCGAAATTCTGAAATTTCTGTTTTCATTCCAAACTTTCTCCCTCCATTGGCTAATCTAGTCTTATTATTACTTTTTGTTATAGTGTAAGTTCTCCATTCAAAAAATCTATAAAACATATTT